CCAGGCCGGTCTCTTGCACCCTCTGCCGGTCCCCAAGCGCCCCTGGTCGCATGTTGCTTTGGATTTTGTCACTGGTCTACCGTCGTCATCAGGTAACACGACCATACTAACTGTTGTAGATCATTTTTCCAAGGCGGCGCACTTTGTGGCGTTGCCCAAGCTCCCGACTGCCTTAGAGACGGCTCGGCTCCTTACCGAGCATGTTTTTCGGTTACATGGGATTCCACAAGACATTGTTTCTGATCGGGGCCCCCAGTTTACTTCCCGGGTCTGGAGGGCGTTTTGTTCAGGACTTGGGGCCCGTGTGAGTTTGTCTTCAGGTTTTCATCCTCAGACGAACGGTCAGGCGGAGAGGGCAAACCAGGAGTTAGAGACCATGTTACGCTGTGTGGTTTCCTCGAATCAATCCACCTGGAGTGACCAGTTGGCTTGGATTGAGTACGCCCACAATTCCAGCACGTCGGCGGCCACTGGTGTGTCTCCGTTTGAAGCGTCGCTGGGGTACCAGCCACCATTACTTGCCATCACTGAAGGTGAGCTGGCCGTTCCCTCTGTTCAGCATCATATGAGACGCTGCAGGCGGGCGTGGCGCGCCACCAGGGCGGCTCTGTTGAGGACGACGGCGCAAAATAAGAGGTTGGCCGATCGTCGCCGCACTCCGGCCCCTGCCTATCGTGTTGGACAGCAGGTGTGGCTCTCTTCCAGGTATATTCCCTTACGAACTGAATCCAAGAAGTTGGCCCCGGGTTTTATTGGGCCTTTTTCGATCCAAGGTGTGTTGAATCCGGTGTCTGTTCGTTTGGCCCTTCCTCGCAACATGAGGATTCATAATGTGTTTCATGTTTCCCAGGTGAAACCGGTCCGGACCAGCCCTTTGTGCCCGCCTTCCAGGCCCCCGCCGCCCGCCCGGGTCGTTGCCGGCGCTCCTGCTTATGCCATCACGCGGATTATGGATGCCAGGCGTCGCGGTAGGGGCTTCCAGTTTTTGGTGGATTGGGAGGGGTATGGTCCGGAAGAGCGTGCTTGGGTGCCGCGGTCTGCGATTCTGGATGATGCTATGGTGAAGGAATTCCGCCGCCGGCACCCTGACAACTTTGGTCGGTCGCCAGGTGGCTCCCGTTAATGGGGGGGTACTGTCATGGCTAGACGGTCTTCACCGATCGTCTGTTTTCTCTTCGGTAATCTTCGGTCACGCTCGGTTGATTTTTCTCTGGTCGGCACACTCATTTCCTCCATTACCCGGGCGGTACGGTGGCTGGCTGCTTCCCAAAACAAATACACATGTGCAGCTTGGCACTTGTGCTGTACATAACAAGTCACGTGACGTGCCGCTGCAGCTGTGATTGGTTCAGCTCTGCACTACTTAATTTGGATTGGCTGTTCTTTTTTTTCTTTTTTTTTTAAGAGGACAAGAGCGGTGAGGCCTATCGCAATAGTTACATTTTTCTATCGAGAAAAAGTTATGTCGCAATACATATCGTTCTATCGCCCAGCTCTATTTAGACGTAACATTTAGATTTTAATATAAAAAGTTACAAATGTTGTTGTAAATGTTGTAAAAATTGACTCAAAAAAACTTGTTTTTCTCCAATGAATGCATCGGAGGGCAACTTGGGGTTAGTATATTGCCTAAGGATATTTTGCCACCCCATGTAGAACTGAGAAGCAATTTATCCAACATCCAGGAATTTTCCTTTCCCTGTGTAAGAGTTCCAAGGAAACCTAGAATCATGCCAGGCAGAAAGCCAGCAAGTACAAACAAGTACATTAAGGGCATGTTCTTGTTCTTCTTGTTCTCTAAAACAGACATTTAAGACACTGTTGAATTAAAGGATGCCAAAAAGGAAAGAGAGAGAGAAGCAAACATGGCTTTAACACAGTTGTTGTTACTTCTGTTTTTTTTCTGCTGTATTTCTGCCGCGAACACTTCAGGTAAGTTTGAAAATACTGTGATGTCTTGAATTGGTTGGTCTCTACTCATAAAATCCAAATAAATTACTTATTGTTATCTGTGTTAGAACAAATACAAGACTAATTCAAAAAATGTTTTGGTGAATGCAATAATTTTCAATAGAAATCCTGACATAAAAAAGTGTACTATTTCAAGAACAATGTTAGATTTTAAAATGGACAAAACTGTTTTGTGGTGAGACGATTCAGGCTTTCAAAATCTTTTCTTAAAAAAACAAAATACTGCATTCTCCAGACAAGAGTTATATTTTTAAATTTTCTAATGATTTTTTTAAAGATTTCCCGTTTTGTTTAGTGTCAGTTAGTGTCGAGAGGGGGATTATTTTTGTTTTAGTTTCAATTTTTTATGTTAAGTTTTAGTTCATTTTGAATGGCTTTCGGTGTTTGTTATAGTTTTTTAAATTATAATTATTGGATGGAGGGCATATGTCAGAAAGCAAAGATGTTTCATCCATATTTTATCTTAGTTTTAGTTTTATTTTAGTTTCCAACTTCACTTCACTTCAACTTTTATTTCATCTTAATTATTTAAAATGCTTTTTTTTCACATCCATGTTTAGTTTTAGTTTAGCTTTAGTTAACTATAATGACCTTGGTACAGACTAAAAAGGAAAGCAAACATCAGGCTTGTTATCAGCTCTTATTTCAAAAGCCTGCATGTATAGTCTTGCACTGATGGCTATGGCACTGGCAGCTTGCACATCTGATGGGGAACATTAGTGTTGAAAGGTATACACAAATTTTACATCAGATTATATTCACCATGTTCAGACATTGATACTGTGATATGCATTTCCTTTTAAAATATATTTGAGATAATGTTCTTGGGTCTGTCACATTTGTGCACACGTAAAGGTCAGACTGAGTTGTTGTGACCAAACCGCAGCATCCGAAGACTAGCCTCATCAATGTTATTTTGGATGGATTTGTTGGTTGCAGTTGCCTGCAACTGAGATGAGAGACCTTTAGTTGGCAAACCATCCCAGTCGCTGAGCTTTGTGCAAGTTTTAGGGCAAAACTAGACAAGAGAAGACTTTGGATGTGTTTTAATTATTTTGTTTGAAAAGAAAAGTCAGCGGACAAACAGATTTAAAACTGCGTCTGTTTCTGATTTGTAAACTCTAAGAAAATGTTACCATCATAGTTTTATATCCAGCAAATAACCTTTCATTTCTGTTTTTTAGAATACACTGACAAGTCTATTTTGTTTTAAAAACAGGAGCGCATGGAGCATCTGGAGCAGTTTTTAACTATGATAATGAAAATAATTCACCAAATAATTCATCAAATAAAACATCTTTCGGACTTTCAGAAGAGGCACTGAAGTTTCTAAATGGCCCTGTGTCCACCATCCTTTTACCTTCCTTTTACACGCTGGTCTGTTTCATCAGTGTGCCAATTAACTTCTGTGCCGTGATTGTCTTTGCTTGGGGGATCCGTCCCAAGAAGCCAGCTGCAATCTATATGGTGAACCTGGCCTTAGCTGATCTGCTCTTTGCACTGATGCTCCCCTTCAAGATCTCCTACCACTTTGAAGGCAACAACTGGAAATTTGGCCCGTCCATGTGCCGCGTGGTCACTGCTGCCTTTTACTGGAACATGTATTGCTCTGTTCTTCTCATAGCTTGCATCAGTGTGGACCGTCTACTTGCTGTAGCTTACCCTATGGCATCTCTTACTTGGAGGAGCCCACAGGCTGCAGTCATAGCCTGCATAATCATGTGGATGTTATCCTTCGCTGGCTCGATTCCCCTTTTTACCATCCACCAGACATTTTACGTCAGTGAGTTGAACATCACCACCTGCCATGATGTCCACTCTACAGATAAGATCGTCTGGTTAAAGACATACTTCCTCACCATCTGCTGTGTCCTCTTCTTCCTGCCTCTGCTCATCACAGTGGTGTCCTACGCTCAGATAATCCGGTCATTGAGCAGAGTCCAACATGATGTTCCAGGAACATCACAGAGGAGAAGAAGAGCAATGGTGATGACATTGACTGTGCTGGTGATATTTGTCCTGTGTTTCATGCCCACAAACTGTCTGCTGCTTGCACACTACCAGCAGTTTAACACAGAGAAGAGCCAGGAGGCACCTGATGGCTCTTACGCACTCTATCTGGTGTTTCTGTGTTTGGGAAGTCTGAACTGCCTCCTGGATCCCCTGCTCTACTACTTTGGATCCTCCCAGTGCCAGAAACGACTATCCAACATGGTCAAGTGTAAGAGCATTACACAGAGCAGAGATATCAGAGATACTCAGTCAGCAACTTCTTCATGGAGATTCAGGAGGTCTGGAAAAAACATCTCCACCAGAGGGGGTTCTTTTCAATCAAGCCTCAGAAGCCAAAAGAAGAAATTACTACTCCTCTGAGCTGATATTTTAAATGACTCTTAGCTGTTAAAGTTATGAAATAACATCAGTGATTTGTCATGAAATTTCAGAAGCTGTGAACATAAGCACGTAGCTAGCAGGAGCGTTTAGAGTTCTGGGCATATCATTCTTCATGATCAGAATGAACTGAATACCTTCCACGGCTATCTCAACAGAAACAGCTTTAAATCTTTGTTTCATAGACACACATGATCAGTCACAGATGCCAAAAGGGACACTGACACCAATCCTCAATAGGAGAACTCATGATGGTTCAGGAGCAGTCAGGCTTACCCGGGTGAGATGTGTTTTTATGTGTTCAATAAATTCTACTTGTATCTTTTAAGATGTGAATATTTATTTTTAATTATCTAGACCAGTTAGTGCAGATTAAGTAAAAAACCTTTGAACTGGTATATGTTAAAAACTGATCCAAATCTAGGACATATTGTAAAAATAAACATGATTTTTCCACTGCATATAAAAATAAGCCTCAAACATCCTCCCTCATAGTTCCATTTGCTGATTTTGATCTGAATTATATTTATCATTATATCTACATTTATACATCGATTTTCCTTTCTTTTGTTTTCTTTGTGGCAAGCGTATGCCAGTGCTGAGGGGAAGTGGAGGTAATGATGAATAAGGTAAATCAACAGAATGTCACATTCCTGGGTCTGTTGACCCAGCGTTTAAGTTTTAGTTTATTTTGATGTTTATGTTTAAGTTCATTAAGTTAGCTAAGTTCATTTCTTTATTAGATTCCCCTTGTGTTTTCTTCCCCTGTATTTAAGTTTCCCTCAACCTTCATGTGTTTCATGTTTGCATGTCTTTGGTTGAACTTTTATATGTCTGAAATAAAGGGTTATCATCATCAACTGCAGTAATATTAAAATGCCACCATTTAGGTTGATCAGATAAATATGTGGGATCTGTAATAAACCGTTTCTAATCAGAAGTTTCTTGTTTTGTTTTTTAAATTTAAATTTTAAATTTAGTCGCCACATGTGGGGTTACCTGCTGTCGTGACCCCTTGTAATCAGGAAGTAAAATATAACAGAGAAAGCAGATGTCAGAGCAATTCCTAATATCTCTATACTTCTTTTTATGGATGATACTATATGGATGTAAACTTGCCTGTGCACATGATGTCACCAAGCCTGCTAATAAAAAAAACTGTAGTAGTCTGCTTCCTGATTGTGGGTATTAGGTATTTTAGTACCATGGTAGCATTTACTGGATATTGTTTTATAGTGACATTATGCAGGAAAACTCTGTCATTCAATAAGGCCCCTATGTTTCAGTTATTTTTCTCTTTGACCCAAGAATTGATGTGTGAGAATCACAGGCTGGTACAAGGTTGAAATACCACAGAGATCACTCCCTCAGCTACATTAGTTTCTTAATCTCTTAGGAGACGCCTGTTGAAGGCCAAATGGTTTGTTTCAGAATTCACTAATGAAAGAACTCTTTATTTCGTGCCTTGAAAATATGTCGCTGAGATAATCACAATTGTATCTGAACTGAGAAACTATACAAAGGATGCTTCTTCACCCAAGGGCAGGAAGACGCTCCCTTATCTTGGTCTGTACTGGTTTAAACTGATAATCTGCTGTCTCATGAATTTTACCCTCTATATAAACTGTTGTACTTGTGAATAAAGTTGAGTCAATTTGGGAAGACAACCTGAAGCAGTCTCTGTTTTCTTGTTCTCCCAAGCTGCTCCCGAGCTCGTACTAACACGCTGAATGGCATGCTTGAATATTACTTGAGAATATATTTGACTGTGTTACAGACTAAGGGACAATCTCTGCTGATAGGTGAAGGTACAATCTCTGCTGATAGACGTCCACGCCTCGGAGGAAGCCGATCCACGGATTAGGCCCTGGAAGCCGTTTCCTTCAGTGGGATCTCTGGGATTTGTAATCCCCACTATTGTGTGCATCATAACCTATTTCTCTTCACACACAGGATTTTTCAGTTTAGAACAATCATGCTTGCTAAAGACTTCCTGGAATGCTCTTTAGAGTGCATGTTGAATTTAGGTTGTATGTTTGTTTATTTAGAGTAGAGTTGTTTTCACTAGATTAACAGTGTTCCAAAGAAACCTGGGACCAGGCCAGGCAGGAAGCCTGAAACAGCAGGTACAAACAGGTAGGTTTAGGGTGTGTTCTTCAAGGCTGGAACTGTTAGCAGACATTTCAGACACGTTGGCTTTAAGGAAGCCAAAAAAGAAAATATAAAACTGATATATAAATAAAATTAAATTGAATTATCGTCAAACTCAACATGACTTTTTTTTTCTTACAAAGATACGTTTTCTCATTTTAAACATTTGATATCTGTTCAATGTGAATAAACTATGGGTTTATGAGATTTGCAAATGATTTAATTCTAATGTTATTTACATTTTACAGTGGGTCATAATTTTTATATTTTCTTTTAGAATTGTGGATATATATTTTAACAGTTATTTTTTACCCAGTGTTGTGGTTTCAGTTCCTTGTGGATGATTTTTAGCATTATGATCAATGTTTCAGGCTAAAACGTGTCAGATAAAAATGAAAAGACACCCCAGTGTTATGCCTCAAAATAACTCATCTGGCTCAGTCAACAGTACCAAACCCAGTGATACTAATTTATCAGTGACAAGATGAGATAGAAGATAGGCTTCATTAGCCCAAGACATGGGGAAGTTGTTACAACAGCAAAGTAGACAGGAATAAATAGATGCAACTTACCTAACAACAATAATATATTGCAAAAATAGAAGAAAATATACACTATACAGGGTAGAAGAAATATAATTTAAATATATGTACATAAACATTAAATGTGTTTTTGTGTATATGATAAAATGATACGGTTTACTAGTAGCAGGAAAACAGATCGTGTCACAATGCAGTGGTTGGCTGTTATTAGCTGCAGGTATTGTGTACTGCACACTAAGATATGTACAGACCACAGTCTGTACATATGTGGTGTGTTTTCACATCTGTGCATTCACTGCTCAGTGCAGCAACCTGTCACTGAAGGAACTGCTCAGTGCTGTCTGGGTGATCTGTCTGGGGGTGGGAGGTGTTCTCCAGCAGGGATGACAGTTTGACCACCATTCCCCTATAACTGGCTACCTCCACTGGGTCAAGAGGGTGTGTCCAGTCAAGTCATGTGAACACCTAGGTTCAGTGGTGTAGGTAGAGAATGTTTGTGCCTGCAGCAGACACTCCCTGTGGAGTGTCTGCTGCAGGCACAACTACTCTACTAGACACACGGTCTGGATCCTTACATACTGAGGGCGGTTGGTAAGATAGTCCAGGATCCATGTGGTGAGATGCACTCCAGCTTGTCTTTCAAATTTATGTCTGCGATAGTGTTGAAAGCACTAGAAAAAAAAACCCAAACATAATTTCGAGTTCTCAAAATGTAAAAAAAAAATAATTTTTCAAATATTTATATGATAGTGCAGTGTGGTAGGACTTGACTTAAGCAGCCAAAGAAGTGCAGGAGACAGATACTGTCCAGTGAGCAAGTAATTTATTCACCATTTTGTGACCAATATTTACACAAATAAAAAATAAAAAAACTCAACTCCATTATTAACTCAGTTAAAATAAACATAACTGAACTTAAATCGATGGAAATTAAGGTCAAACTGCACACAGCTACACTGACCTGATCCTTCCTCCCTAAACACCTGCGTTCATCTGTTTAAATAGTTCATTCACCCCTGTACTAATCGATTAAGGTAGGTAAGTCAAACACTTCTATACTCCAACCTGTACTGCTACTCTTCCTAACAATAAAACTCTAAGGTATAGTCAATACATATTACAACAAATCAATTTCTCTACTAACACTCTAAAATCAACTTTATTAAATTACAAGGATTCTCCCCCTTCTCCTCCTGGTCTCTTCCTGTGACCTCAGATTAACCAGTAAGCTATAAATACAGGAAGTAAAACCTTCCTTCTTTTGTTCCTGGAACACAGGTAGGTAAGGTGAGTTTAAACAAGACAAATTAACAGTTGAACTAAATAACATGTTAACTTAACAAACTTGTCAAAAATTGATTTAAACCAAGATGTGATGTTATATAATCTGTAAAAGTGCAAAAGATAGGCAAACATCTACTATCCAGGGTTTGTTTATTGCAGACTACACATGAAATATGGTTAAATCAAAACAAGAATGTTAACTAAGAATATGGACAAGTGGTACTCACCCATTTTGTCACATGCAGCATCAGATACACTGAAGGCTAGCCTCACCACTGTGCGACTTTGTGCAGTCAATTGGACCTGTAAAAGCTCAGGAAGTCCTAAAAGTGAATACTGTCTCCTTCTTGCAGTCTATCCCATCTGCCAAGTGGCAAGGTAAACCCTGGGCAAGTCACCATTCTGTTCCAGGGCAACCATTTTTAGTGTTTATAAAACAAACACAGAAATAAAAAAAGAAACACAAAGGGGCTCTAACACCAACCCAAAAACTCATAGTGGTTCAGGAGCAGTCTTGCCCAGGTTATAAGCATTACTTATGTTTTCAGTAAATTCTACTTTTATCTTTTATGATGGGAATATTTCTTCCTAGTTATCTAGACCAGTTTGTGCAGTAACAGAAGCTTTTTATGTTTTTTTTTCTCACAGGTCTATTACCGGTATGCTGCATGTGTCAATTTTCCTTCAGAATGCATGTTGAATTAATCGTCTGTTTGTTTATTTAGAATATTGGTTTTCACTGTTCCAAGAAAACCTGGAACCAGGTCATCCAGGAAGATATTACTAAATCAACAGGTACAACAGGTAGGTTTAGGGTCTGTTTTCTCAAGGTTGTTAACAGGCATTTCACACACTGTTGGTTTTAAGGAAAACAAGAAGGAAAAGTTTAAGGGAAGGGTTTGCAGATTTAAGCACAATAAGGCCAAACCATGTCCTGTAGCTGTACTAGGGACATGTGTATTTATGCAGTATTAAGACATCATTTGTCCAACATCCAAGTTTCACCTGTGAACGGGTTTTTATAATTATATAGAAACTTGATTTTATATTCATTCATGGTTTTATAATTATAAATTCTTTAGGCTTAAACGTGTCAGAGAGAAATTACATACCGGTACAAGATGAAGTTTCAGGGTACATCAAATTTGCCAGAAAAGTCAAACTGAGATGTTTTGGATAGCGAAGCATCAAATAAACAGGAGGCTAGACTCGTAACAATTCACTTGTTGAGTTTTGTATGATTAGATGGACAAAATAAAATAGGAAAACAAGTAGGTTTGTACTTTTTCAAATTTATTTTAGCTCTCATATAAACTATTTTCTGCAGTTTATTTGTTCTGATTTTCAGAATACACAGTAAAAAAAAAAAATCTTCAGCTCTGCTGAGAATCCACAGGTGGGGGTGGTACTTTATTTTGATGGGACAGACTGAGAGACAGACTGGCATCATACCATACTGTCTACTCTTTAAATTTTTCGAATAGGCTTACTACTTCTGGTTTAAGAAATTTGACAGGAGTTATTATTTCACATCGCATGCCAAACATTAAACTGATTTTTAGTCTAAACAGTAACACATGAAAGACAATCTTAATGGTGTATCAGTTGCCTGGGCTTATCGCATACAGAGAGGCAAAAACATGCATAATTTATAGCATCATCATAGCGTTGTATTGTTTTGTTTTTATTTTGGGTTTGTTCGGCACAGCAACGTAATGAGTGGAGATGTCTATAGGCTGTGGTCACTTTACTTCAGCATCTAGCTAAAGGGAGGAACTTTAAGTGTCAGGTCATTTCAAATGCTGCGCTCAGTGTCCAAACTAAGTTACCTTCTTTTCTGTTTAAACCATTGAAAAACATGAACTGTAACAGTAAATATGTCTTCTTAACTCACATACGAAAGGGAGATGAATGAACACACTGGCACGCAGCTCACACTCAGCTAACAACCAGTCAATACAGAATCAACCAAGGCAAAAGTGTTACTACTCATTTCTCTTTACATTCCCATTGCATACTCCCTACAGTAACACAGTCAAAACAACATTTAAAACAACAATGAAGATATGATATGAGACAAATTTCTCATCTACCACACATACCAACTTTGTACCATCTACAATAACGACAGCATGAACTGTCCACTGACAATTTAGGGGCTGTAATTTACTAATATAATTGTATTAAATCAACTTATACAAGGTTCAGTTATCTTTGCACACAAAAAAAGCTGGTCGAAATGTCCTCAAAAGAGCCACTTTTTACTTTTACTTTTTTTACTTTCTTACTTTGAGTACATTTCATAGACTACATTTCCACTTTTACTTGAGCAAAGAAGTTGAATCAGTACTTCAACTTTTATCAGAGTACATTTTAACACAAGTATTTAGACCTCAGAATGTCTGTACTTTTTACTTTTAGAACTTGGAAATACAAACAAGCAGACACGGACACCAGAGGCAACTTAGAGTGATGCTCATTGTGGTTCAGAAGCAGTCATTCCCCACTTTTATTTTTGATGATCTGCATATTTATTTAGAAGTATCTAGCTCAGTTAGTGCAGTTCCAGGTTACCCACTGACCCTAAAGACAGAGCTGACCCAATTCATGCCTCCCCTAAATGACAGATGCTTTTGGTTGCTGCATGTGAAGTGAAGTAAAAACCTTTGCATTGAGAGCGTTAATACTGTAGTAGATCCAAATGTAGAACATATCATAAACAAAACATGCACTCTCTGTGTAAAAGTATGTTGTAAAGTTTTAGACATCATATTCATTTAAAAGAAACCATATGAATAAATGTTTTTGAGTTACAGGATTCGAAAACATTCATTTGTTACTGTGTTTTAAACAAGGAAGGACTGAGAAGCAGTGACACATCGTTCCTGATAAGTTTTTGTATATTGCCCTCTGCTGGTGGCAACCTTGCATTAATATTAAAGCTTTATTTAATTCATTTTTAAGAATAACGTCATATTTCTCTGCTGTCATCCGTGGCTCATCGTCCTTTTTTCTTTTTCTCGTCTTTTATTTTGGCATTGGAGGTAGTAAAAGGAAGGTGAATGGGAAGGGTTTTATTTGGAAATCTCCTCCCTAAAATTCAAGATTCTTTATTTGTCACATGCATAGTTATACCAGTACAACATGCAGTGAAATGTATCCTCACACGCTCCTCGACTGTGCATGACTGTGTTGATAGTCTGGATTTTTTTACTGTTGAGGAAATACAGGTTTACCTTAAATAAACAGTTTTATGATATTATCATTAATATGAGAA